AGATATTTGAGACAATTGGAATTGAGTAATAGAAGTTAACCTTTTCAAAAGAGCTGAACAGTCTTAATCGCCAGTTTAAGGATAATCTGTTTGAATAAGAATAATTCATTTATCTTCAATATTCTTCTACACAAAATTTAGTTTCACTTTTTTGTAATGTGAAAGGTATAAAATACATCTAATCATCATGATGTGTCACAGACACAGCAATTTAGAAATTGAGAAGACCATCTGGATAAGATCAAAAAGTTCTGGCTTCCAGATCAGTTGTACGAAAGCAGTGAAATCTAGTCATATAATATCTAATGTGTCTCTTCACTTCCACAGTTGGAAAATGTTAATACTGAAATCTCAGAAATAATTCCTCAGAAACAGAAATGCCATGCAGAGTGCTGGCATTCACTGATACAATGATGTCAGTGCTGGATGGATCACTCTTGGCAGACAATATTTACTTTGAGCTTCACAATAAAATGGAGTATTCAAAACTTCTGGTATACTACATCCACTCATCTTGTTTCAAGGTCTTTTCTTCAAGCACAAGAAGCTTCATATACCTCTCAAAAATAATCAGGAATCTATGTGAAAAATGAACACAGGTTAGGGTTCTACAGAAAGCAAAAGAGGAAAAAGCATAACATATCATAAGGTCTGATTTGTTTCTGTGGCTTCCCAAATACTTTTCCAGCAATGACAACACATATATCAACCAGACTAGTTTCCCATAATGCAGAATATTATGGCTCCATAACTCTTTATCTACAAATAAACCATGAAGACAAGTCAGACCACCTGCTGCAGATTCAAATTCAGCCACAAGTGTCACACATCTAAGGAGAGTCTTAGGAATGCAACCACTGCTTTTACGGGCTGTTTCCTGCAACTGCTCAGGCAGAAACCACAGCAGTCTCTGAGTTAGATGGTGTTCTAGCTGACCAGCAGACCATGTCTTTGTGATTTCAATTTTTGTGTAAGAACTCTTTTTTGGCTTTGCTGCTTTTCCCCCAAGGCACATTCTATAAAGTGAATATGGTATTCATGCTGTCACTCCTTTTTCTTTCAGTCTGATTCAGCTAGGCAGGACTTACAGGATTTCTCTCTCATGTCTCCATTAACAATCTCAGTGGAACCAGTAACCTTAATAGTTGCATCAGCATTAGTAACACACAGTCCCTATGGATGTAACTTCTGTGCTGATCACCAAAATGTTATTTTCATGTGGAAAAAAACCTATGTGATTACAAAGAAAAGAGAGAGTTTTGCATGACCTTTGTGAGTGCTAGTGTATCTGTCTGGAGAATGATTTGAAATCAAAATGTCTCTTGGCAAATTCTAGATCCTTGATTATAATAAAGGTCCAAGTACCTCCGCATGGAGTAAGTTTTCTATTGGCGGAATATAGCTGAGTGCTGGGAAAAGCTGGCTAATGAAGACACAGAACTGAGAATTTTAAGTGAAAAGCACTTAAAAAAAATTAAGTCAAGCCAGTAACAAGTGACTGATCAGCCTCAGAAATAGAGTTACCAAACATCCAATTAATATAAAATAAAGATGTCTACAAACAACTATAAAGACAAGTGAGGAAAGGGGGAGCCTTGATAGTTTGATGGGTACAGATATCATTTTCATTTCTTATACCTATGTATTTAATATTTAAACAAAAATACCAGTCAAACAAAAGGGAGAGAAGCAAATGCACAGGCAGTGGAAGCAAGGACAGGTAACCCTGGAAAAGCACAGAGATGAAATCAGATTATGTAGAGATGGGGCAAGGAAGGTCAAGAGGAAGCTGGAACTGAACTTGTAAAGGCATGCAAAAAATTAATAAAAAGGGATTCTATACATATATTAACAAGGAAAGGAAGGCCAAAGAAGGCATATCCCCATAAACATTATTGGAAAACTCAGCCATGGATGAGGAGGAGTCTGAGGTACTCAACAACAGTTTTGCCTCAGTCTTGAATGGCAATCTCTCTTCCTATATATTTTAACTGGACTGACAGCAGGATGTGGACTGGATCTAAAGCCCCTCCTACTGTAAGTAAAGATCAGGTTCACACTCTCCTGAGGAACATGAACGTACACAAGTCTGTGAGACCAAGGAGTTGCTAGGCCACACTCCATGATATTCGAAAAGTCATAGCAATCAAGTTCCAGATGACTGAAACACAGGCAACATAGAACCCATCTTTAAAAAGGGCAAGAATTAATAGGTCAAGGAAGAGGCTGGGAACTACAAAGCTGTCAGACTCACCACTGTGGCTGGAAAGATCATGGAACAGATCCTGTGCTAGAAGCTGTGCCAAGGCACATGGAGAACAGGGAGGTGGTTTGAGACAGTCAATATGGCTTCAACAAGAGCCAGTCTTGCCTGACCAACTGAACAGTCTTCTACAATGAAGTTATCTAATATATTTCTCTATGAAGAGATCAAGTTCCCCCTTTGTAAATTTGCAGATGAGTGGAGTGGTTGACACTGAAGGATGGGATGCCATCCAGAGGGACTTAGGCAATCTTCTGTACTGTGAGGGTGGTGAGGAACTAAACCAGGTTGCCTAGAGAAGCTGTGGAGTCCACATCCCTGCAAGTGTTCTAGGCCAAGTTGGGTGGATCTTTGAGAAATCTGGTGAAAGATGTCCCTGCACACAGCAAAGAAGTTGAAACTAGATGATCTTTAAGGTGCCCTCCAACCTAAGCCATTCTGTGATTCTAATAATATTTTGATAAAAGAACAAACTGGGTTTTCCTCCTTGATTTTCCAAGGAGATGTAGCCAGATTACCTGGATTTCTAGTTAAGTCACACATTTGCAAACCTCTGACTTAATAGATGGACTAATTAGATCCAAGGGGTAAAAGTTTATATTTGTGTCTACAAACGAGTATGTGGTGAAGAACATGTATTGTGCTCAGTACAAAAGGTTTTACTGAATTTATCTAAATCTTCTAGACTGTCATATGAATAGAGGCTCTGTAGTTAATTGTTTATTTAATATGTAACTGCAAATTCAAAACCTAAATTCAATTGCTGAATTGAAATAAAGAGGAAATGCAATTTTACATTAAGGAACATGTTCAATTCATCTTTGAATATAGAGCTGTCATCAATTTATTTATAATTCAGTAAGTGCATATGAACTATTTAAATACCTTTTGATTGCCAACTTATATACATAGCTTTGATTTCAAAGGAATTCTGGGTTTTCCAATAACAAGAAAGGCAGAAAACGTAGCTAGAAAAGTAAACAAGCCTCAGTGGGATCAAAGCATTAACCATTCTCTGTGTGTCTTCAATTACTACTAATTGTTTGAGCTGCTGCAGTTCACAGAACAAATCATATTTCCCTGCTTTGGGAGGCATTGCCTGTATGTGGCAATGTTTAAAAACAGACTTATGCACAAAAGATGGGTCTCAGAAAATAAGACTGTTTTATTATACGTTCAATGAACAATTGTCCAGAAGTTCCCAAACACAATAGAATTTCTTTTTTAAAAAGTGATTCTTTCAACCATGATCTAGAGTGAGAATAAATGATTTTCAACCTTTCAAATGTTGCATTAAGTTTCTGACTGCAGAAATGGAAAAATTGGTCAGGTCTAGCATAGGATAAACTCTGAATTTACAGAACATGAAACAAGTTGCTTCCCTTCCTGTATCTTTAAAAATTTGGTTAAATCCAAAAACAAATACAACTTTCTTTGACTCAGATATAGCTTAGCAGAAAATTGTGTCAGCTATGTAAAAATCTGTCAACCTAGGCACCATAACATTCTTAGCATACCTAACACATTTTTCGTTTATGGAAGTAAGAACCAAAGCATTCAGGTTTATCTTATTTTAAAGTATACTGCTTTTCTTTACAGGTTATTCGCAAAGTGCAAGAAATCTGATGCCTGGACCTCAGAATGTTGAACCTTAATTTCTTTTTTGAAAGTAATATTGTTGTTGTGATATTTTGGAGAAAATGTAATTATTGTTCTTAAAAATAAAGCTGCTTTCAAAATCACCATCCTAATATTTCATCTCAGATAGATTTTTTTTTTCCTGGAAAAACCTAGTTCTACCACAGAGTATATTATTTACTGAAGAACTTAATCTAACATCCGTTTAAAAAGAGAAAAGGTGTTTGTCCATTATGTTAGACATTCTTGCATTTGAACACTAGTTAAATAGCTAAATTTATTCATTTTAATTTATCAGAGGAAAAGGTATGTGAGAAGCAAACAGAACACTCTGGTTATGTTAATCTGCTGTATAGTAAGGCAGACAACACTGAGAATTTCCAAAAAGATACAGTTCCTCTTAGTGTTCAAAAAGTCATAATCAGATCATTTGAACTCAGTAAAATTCAAAGGCAAAAATGGCCTATCTGTATAATCGGAAACTTCATTGGTGGCAAGGACAGATTTTTTTTCACCAATGGGATATGTTGAAGGCAATATCCAACTGGAAGAACTCAGATGAGTTAGGATAAACAAACAGGTTCTGAACAGCTCTGTTCGGAAGTTCTTCCTGCAATACAGCTTAATTTACATAGGTTTGAAAATTAAAATAGCCAATATCATCAGTGCATCATTATTTGTTATTTAATGTCAGGCTTTATATGGTCACATACTGAAAGAAGTATTTTAAAGTCCAAATTTTGTGTAAAAATCTGGGTTAATTAGTTCTTACTTCATCATTGTTTGTTACTTCCCAAGAAGGAAGAATTCAAATACCCTTATCATTCAAATATCAATTGCTTTTTCATGTTGCTTCTTTACACAATCATGCTCAGTGTCATACTTCTGCTGAATGACCATTTGATGCTGCTTCCTGTTGGATGATGCATATTCCTTCAACGTCTATAATTATACAGAATTACAGGACTTCTGAGGGCCTCAGTCTCACCCAAAGACATGGATTCGACAGATTAGACTAAATGTCAGCTGTTCCTTCAAGCTACTACTTCTGCCAATCCTTGTGCCTGGTATTTATTTTTCTTTTGTGTTTACCCTACAGGGCTCTATGAAAACTATCCAACCAATGCAGAACCAGAATGCTGTGATGTCAGATGGGGACTATTATCAGATCATCAACCCAAAGGGACTATAAAAACAAGTGGCTCAACAATGTGTCACAGGACATCGCTCACAGTTTCATCAGCATCAAGACTGTGTAACAGCAGACTTAAACTGTGTGTTCTTGTATTAATTCTCTTACATACAGTACTTACAGTCTCAGCAGCACAGAACTCAACAGGACTGGGCTTTGGAAGCATAACAACTTTGGAAGATAATTCAACCAATGAGGAATAAAAGAAAGGATTCATCTTACATGACAGAAACACAGCAGGCCCAAATTACTACAGTAAAAAATAGCAAGGACTGAGCGCTTTACCCTCAGAGATCTTCTTGAATGACCTTTTGGGTAAAATGAAAAGAATGGGCCGCTATCTAAACAACGAGGACACACAAATGCAGCTTTTTATTGACTAAAAGGCTGTTTGGTGACTTAACTTTCTCACACCATTTTATACACTGTGTTTTAATGTTTGGAGTTTCTTTTTTTTTGTTTATTTTTTGCACTTGTTAATACAGGATTTTATTTTTGGGACAGTTTCTCAAAGCTAAATTAAGTCTTTTCTCTGTCGATATATTTCTAGTCATTGTGTGTGTTCATCTGATAGTTCTGTCTTTTATGTCCTGTCAGTTTCTATTAGAGGAATGACTGCTATGATTTCATGACATAGCAAAAAAAAAAAAAAAAAAAAAAAAAAAAGGAAAAAAACAGGAAAAAAAGAAAAAAACAGGAAAAAACCAAACAAACCAAAAAAACCCCAAAAAGCCCACAAAACACCCCAACAAAAACCCCACAAAAAGAATAGCAAAACAAAATTTAACCAAAAAAGAGAAAAGAATAAGAAAAAGAAAAGAAAAAAAAGCAACCACAAAAAGAACCCCAAACAAACCTTACTGTCCTCTTATCCATGGGAACCATTCATCTCCTTTCCCTTTCCCATCTACCGTCACAGACAACATACATTTGCTTCTGTCTGTGTAATCACAATGAATGGGTACACAATTCCAGTGTGCCTCTGCCACTGTTGCACAAAACAGTTGACTGAGCAAACCCAAAAGGAGCATGAAGGGGGTTCCTTTTAGCTGAACAAACAAGTGCTCTCCTTACAAGGTGGGATCGGACAGTTAAAAAGTATAAAGAAATATATAACAAACTGTTGCTCCAATACCCGTTTTGAAGAAGTCCAGTCCTTTCTCACTGGTCAGTTGAACAGGAGCAGCCTTTTCTAGACATGTTAAGTAAAACCAGTTATGCTCAGCAAGTTGAATAGTTGGGAAGCCTTCATATTGGAGGTGAAGGATTGACATTCATTGTGAATCACGTTTTGAGTTCTCCTGCTGTCACATAGCCAGCAGATTTCCACAGAAAATGGGAGCCAAGAACTTCCAAAATTCAACTCTTTTTTTTCACAACTGAATTACACTAGAAGTCTATTAACATCTACAATACAAATTATCTCCTTGGTTTGATTCCATTGTTTTTCTATTACCTACATGTTGTTGAAAGTAACTAGTTTATTAAGGATGCACAAGAATGTGTTAGCACAGATAAAGAAACTATTTTTTTTTAAATATATAGGACAACCGTTTTCATAAATGTGCAATAAAAACAGTAAATATATACTAGGATATGAGTAGTCAAGAGAAAAGATTGTAATATGCTGGTTTTTCATTGTTCGGGGTGGTTTTGAATTTGCTTACTTTTATTTTTTGTGGGAACATTTCACCTGCTGAGTGTATGAGAACTTGCTTTTTAAAAAGGCTTTTTAGAGTTTACAGTAGAATCAATGGAAGGAAAAGTTAATAAGGGCTGTTTTTAAAAACTTTACATTCCTTCCTATTCTCTAACTACACTTGGGAAGTGCACTTTAGAGATGTTTTCTGTGTAGCTGGGAAATGAAGGAAAACTATAGAAAATGTTCTCTTAGGAAATAAAATATAGTTACCTACTTTCTAGCTATGAAGTACCCCTTGACAAATATTAATGTTGTAAGAACATTTAATCACTGGTGCATAATGCGTTTTTGTATACAATTTACGGTCTGTTAAATTCTGGAGAAAAACAAAAAGAAGATAACCATGCTGCTTAAGCGGTTCAAGATGCACATGTTAAGCTGCGAAGCTCAAACATTTTGCAAGAGTATTTGTTTTGATAGTGTTTTGCTACAACCTGGACTGAGGAGCCTAAAACGATCTGTGCAAATACGACAACAACAAAAAGCACCAGCTAATGCAAAATTCTTCAGCACTGGTTTGTTTCTATAATTCCTCCCTTCCCTTCCTTGCACATGCTATATTTTGTTCAATAAAACATGGTGCTTTTTTATTTATTTTCTTTTCTTTTAGAGGCACATGTATTAATTACAGTAAATTGATGCAAAGTTGGGGGAAATGTAGAAATGCAAAAGAAAAAGCCTTAACTAATGGTAGAATGTAGACTTTTGAAGGACAGAAATGTTACTGAAAAGTTATGGAGCAATAACTGGGCAGTGCTCTGGTACTGTACAACAGCTGATAAGTCACACTACTGAGAAAGCTCTTACTAGGTGAGCTCTTGTTCAACTGACCTCTTAATTCTAGTAAGTGTACATGGTCAGTAAACAGTTTGTTATAACCTTTATCTACCTCTGCTGTGCAAAGGCCATCCAACATCCATTCCTGTGATGTTCCTCATGGTTTTTTTGTTCACACCATTACTCACTGTCATCTATTTTTACACTGTACCAATACAGTACCTAGTCTGGTTCATCTCAACTGAATTGGCACCTGAAGAAGTTTTTAATATTTCTCTTTTGCTTCATGATGAATTAATGTAGAGATCTATCTTTAAAGTATTTTATTTCTTCTTTTCTGCTCTTTTTCATTCTTCATCCCTTACTTTTCTATAAAAATGTTTTCAAGTGGTGTCAGTGAAAATGACTCTTCCACTGCTTGGCTACACTCAGTCATGTGTCATACAATATGAGAGAGACAGGAGGAAAAACAGTGACAACAACATCACATACATAATGTAGCCTAATTAAACTTGGGGAAAATGAAGCAGAAAACAATTACAGACTTTCAATTACAAATACAAGATGTAATAAATTCATCCCCCTCTCCCTACCTGGAGTGAGTGCCTGCAGTTCAATGGTCTGTGAATTTTCTCTGTCATCTTTTTGAGGTCTATTTCTTTAATTTCTGAAACAAAGAGTCATGTTGCAGTTGAATACTGCTGGGGTATCTGTTGCCATTTTCACTCTAGCAGTGTGGTAAGAAGCTTCTCTTGGTGGTACCTGGGACATCAGGAGTAGACAAAGACTCTTCTATGAAGTTAAGCAACATGTAATCATGTATGATGCAAAATTCCATCCCATCCATTCTTCATTCGTAATAGTTTTCCTGGCACAAACTTAAGCATGCTTGATATTGTGCACATATTACTTTTTTTCAGAATAAATTTGCATCTTGCCACTGCTATAACTGCCATCTTGTTCCATTTCTCCTTGTACTGTATGCCTAATACATACATGATAAAGAGCTGGCTTAACAAAGAAGTAACACTAAAATCTTACTGCAAATGACTGAAGAGAAGAAAAAGAAAAAAAAGAATATTTATTTTATGATCATATGGAAGAAATTAATTTCCCATGTCTTTTATCGTCCTATTTTCTGCTATAGGGAAAATGCAGATTTTGTGCAATATGTTAATACTGCTAAGCCAAATGTCATATAACATAACCAGACCTATATGTTATTCCTTATTGCGTTTGCATTCAGTAATACAGTATATTGTTGCTTTCCTTTCATTAAAGAGACAGTATCTTTTTTCTTTTTTTTTTTTTTAATATAGCAGGTGAAGGCTGTTCTTCTACACACCATAATTTAAAGACAAAAAACCCAACAAAATGTTAGGATGAAGTTTTAGTTCTATAAATGATGAAACCAAGCCATCAGCTGCCAAAGAATCTGTTGAACAGTAGTTACAAACAAAACAAAGATATTTCTCCTTGAGAGATAAAAATAATTTTATTCTGCATGATTAAAGAAGAAAGAGTAAAACAATGAGAGATGCACTTCAAAGAGCAGAAAGAGCAGGTGTCATCTGATACACGTTATGACTCTCAGCTTCTATAGTTATATTCTTCTATTAAAGAGTGAGGGACAAAGCATTGTCTTCTCCTCTCTGTATTTATGATAATGAATGTCCTTTTTGCAAGCGTTGCCTGTCTGCACAGAAGATACCTGCCTACCATGAGAGCTGAAGGTAGCACATGCACACCAATTTACGCAGTGAAAACTCTTGAGTGACTATCCAAAGCACAAGCAAAACTCATTTGTGGAGTAGACCTAGTTTTTAGGAAAATTCAAGATACATGTGAAGGGTAACCTAAGCAAGGGGTTTGTGAAGGTGCCTGGTCCTTACTTCAGCTTTCACAGTATGTCCTATCAGTGTCACAGCCCCATGATAAGCCCTGCTCAGGCAGGCTTCCTGCTGGGCTCAGTCATGCTGGCTTCAGTGAGCCTTGGTACAGGTAAAGGCATGCACCAACAAAATTTCATGGTAGCACTTAAGTCTCAATTTGCTATCCCATAATCTTTACTCAGGAATTGTTCATGGGCATAGTGTATAAGCAGAAGATCTCTGGGTTCAGCCCTAGCCAAGTCTTGACAAGAGATTGGCAATAGCATATTAATGGTGAATGGTCCTTTTTTATTATTACTGTCTACTCATATTAGTTTGGTGAAGGAGTGGCTTCCAAATTTAACTACAAGTACGGAGGACAAAATACCAGAAACTTTGTGTAGAAGAAATTAAATAGCTTTTTGAGGTAAAAAGAGACTTTGTCATTTTTCAGCAGCTGTCAGCAGTCTTTTAGAAAACCTTCAGAAAATAATATGTCTAGTTCTGAGTATGATAATTCTCATTAAAGCTAGATGTTTTTATGAGAAATAGGACTGGATCACAAACCATCTCAACTGAGGGATATAATTTGCCAATATTTCCTACAGCAATCCTGAGAAATTACATTACTGAACACCTCCATGCATCCAATACTAAACAGCTTTTTTTCAAATGTTAACAAGCTTGAGATAGGAAGGAAGAGAAGAGAGAGAGAACTATTGTCATTCTGAGAAAAAAAAGTCTTGGCCAATTTAGAAAATCCATCCAAGAAGCAGCTATAATTCTGCAAATACAATTGAGACTAAAAAATAAAGAAAAAATATTTATATGTACGTGTAGGTCTATATAGAAATAGACCTATATCAAAAAAGAGAGACAAAAATATATGTTCTCTACAATAATTACAAATACAGCATACTGTAGAACAAAAATGCCAGAGGATAAGACCTATAAAAAATAGAGCAAAATTGCTGTATTTATATTCCTTACTACGGAGTGTGAATTTCCAGGTAGAATTTCAGATGTAGAAATAGATTTTATAATAAAAAAGTAAATAATTTGGGCAAAAGGGACATGTTTGGCTATTCTTTCCACATACTGTCTCCTATGAGTTTAGTTATTTTTCTGAACTTCTCCTTGAAGTCGTAGACTTACACAGGAAGATCCCAGCACAGACCTCAGTCCCAGCAGTTCCAGCTGCTGTTGGGGACACAGGACATCTCAGTCATAAGTCCTAAGGGATAGTCTGCACTCAAAGTGTTGCCTCTGCTTCAGCATTT